CTACAAGTGTGAACCAAATGGACCCTTTCCACTCTTAAGTTGCTTTGCACATAGTGTTTTATCATAGCAACAGAATGCAAACTAGAACGTTTTCCTGACTAAAAATTAAATATGTGGATAAAGGAAATTAATTACCAATTAAATAGCCTTGTGTTTTCCTTTCTTGTATCAATCCTGTGTTATTTTAAGGCTAGCTGCAGTGTGCTATCTGAATTCCATCTCCAGGATCCTGGAGGATCCTTAAACTACCATTTAAGGGATGAATTGGGATGTTTCTGGCCTGATCCTCTGAAGAATGCCATGGGTATCAATTACTCATTGGAAACTTTAAGAATTATAGGGTTTGAACTCTTAAGATACTGTGGATCTCATTTGTGACATTATTTCATCTATTGTTGGAGAAACTGACTGATATTTAACAAGAACCAGGGAAGATAGAATCATGAAGAGTGAAGTTGAAATGTTAGCTGTTCTAAAAACCTTGAGATCGCAGAATCACTGGAATGGGTCACATATTGCTGTACAAGAATAACAGTGTTCACCATTGTATAAGCCTCTTCTTATGTTCTTGTGTGTTTCTCTCACTTTTCTTTGAACATGCAAACTATACTTGAATTGGAAAAATTCTGAAAACACTCATTGCCACAGGTGTGGAGACTGGGGCACTTTCATTACAAGGGTCTAGCTAAAGGATCAAATAACATCAAATCATCCTACATTTTATAAATGGGCCAAAAGTCAGAGAAGATTAAAAAATAAAAATAAAACAAACAGATTACTGTGAACTCCATGGTCGGCATTTTCTTTTCCCTTCAAGTACTAAAATAACAGCACAAAGCTAAGAAGTGGCAATCTACTGGCTTCACTTAGAAGCCTTTGAGTTCAAGAGAGGCCTGAGCAGGAATCCTTAGCTGATCCATCCCTGGTGAGATGTTTTCCTCACTGGCATATCTCTTCCAAAGAAGTGGTAGGCTAATGTCACCCAAAATTACTGTAAGAAAAAAAAAAAAAAAAAACCTTCAGACTAACAGGTTTTCAACACCATTCTATACTAAGGAAAAACACTCTGCCCCATAAAATTAAATGACTGCCCCCAAACTCACTTCCCTATAAATTATAATATTAAATGTAGTAAGGCAAAATTGGAATTTCATGTTTCCTGAAGTAGCCCTCTTTTTACTGACTCCATCTTTAATGGAATAGTCCATCTACTTCTAGGGTCCAAAACTAGAAAAGTGATGAATAAAACTGTAAAACTTCAAAAAAAAACCTGCAAAACAACTAAGGGGCAGCTAAATACATCTCATCTTTGGAGGAAACCACAAACTACTCTTAGGAGAAATAAATGTGTTTGCAGTTTAGCAAGCACTAAATTGCAGGAATGTGAGCCATTCAAACCTCACAGAAGGTGCCTAGCTGCATTCCATTTCTTGGAGTAAAGATCAAAAGGGAAAAAAATTAAACACATTAATGAGTTTGGAAGTTAGTGGCTCATATTAAGTCTGGCAATAACTACTATGAATTGACTACATTCTCACTAATTGAACATATTCTGTTACAGTCCTTTTAAAATGGGGTTGAAAGTCGTAACAATGTTTTTGAGTTTATACTTTGTATTGAAAGAACTCAGCCAGCCCCTTGAAAAGTAAAATTCCAAGAAAAAGCACTATTACAACCAGCCTGAAGAGATGGATGATATGTAAACTAAAGCAGAGAGGACTTGGGCTACGCCAAGACTTGGGTTGTTTAAACTGTGAGAACACTTGAAGGAGAGACACAGTTATAAAGCTACATGAAGCAACACCTTAAATTTGCTCTGAAAGGCTACAGGAGAGATGCATACTGACTGGGTAAACTGGTAGCTTTGTACAGGATGGATCCAGTCAGGGAAAGTAAATACAAACACCAGTACACCAGTACTAAGAACACTAGGAAGTGCCAAGATCCCCTGAACTTTTCTTTTTCTTATTTATTTATTTATTTATTTATTTATTTATTTATTTATTTATTTTTGGTTTTTCGAGACAGTGTTTCTATGTGTAGCTTTGGAGCCTATCCTGGCACTAGCTCTGGAGCCCCGGCTGGCCTCGTGCTAACAGAGATCCACCTGCCTCTGCCTCCCGAATGCTGGTTCATTAGGGTGCCTTAATGCTGTGACAAAACACCATGACCAAAATGCCACTTGGGGAGGAGTTGATTTGGCTCACACTTCTATATCGTTGTTCATTATCAAAGGAAGTCAGGACAGGAACTCAAACAGGGCAGGTGCCTGGAGGCAGGAGCTGATGCAGAGGCTATGAGGGAGAGCTGCTTACTGACTTGCATACCCTACCTTGCTCAGCCTGCTTTCTTAGAGAATCCAGGACCACCATCCCTGGGATGGCCCCACCTACCATCGTCTGGGCCCTCCCCCATTGATCTCTAATTAAGGAAATGCCTTACAGCTGGATCTCATGGAGGCCTTTCCTCAACCGAGGCTCTTTCCTCTCTGATGACTCTAGCTTGTGTCAAGCTGACACACAAAACCTGCCAGTACAACTCACCCCTACTCAACTTGACACACAAACACATCTTTATTAAGCCACGGCTCCAACTTTCCTATTCACCCCCCAAGATCTTAAATAACTTTAAAAGTCCCACAGTCTTTACAAATCCAAACACATTAAAATTTCAGACCCCTTAAAATAGCCAATCTCTTTAAAAAATACAAAGTCTTTTAAAATTCAAAGTCTCTCAATTGTGAGCTCTAGTAAAATACTTTCTTACTTCAAGAGGGAAATTTAAGGGCACAGTCACCATCAAAACAAAGCAAAACAAAATCCCAGCCATCCAATGTCTGGGATCTACTCAAAAGTCTCTGGCCTCCTCCAAAGGGCTTGGGTCACTTCTCTGGCTCTGCCCTCTACAACACCCATGGCTTGTCTTCTAGGCTCTGGCTTGTTCCACTCCACTGAAGCTGCTGTTGGTGGTGGTCATCCCATGGTCCTGGAATCTCCAAAACACTGGGGCCTACTGCTGCAAGTGGGCCACACTTTCACCAATAGCTTCTCTAGGCTCTCCTCATGCCAAGGCTCAACTTCTTTGCATGACTGCTTCAATCTTTCAAAACCAGTACCACATGGTTGACTCATACACATTACCAAGTCCAGCTGCCACCATGGGGTACAACCTTGGCCACCTCTGGAACACAGTTTCTCTGTGCTCTCAGGAAACACCTCCCTGATTTCCCGTCAGTGATGCTGGTCTCTTCCTAATCATTGCTAGTTTCTTAGCTCCAGCCAACCAGCAGCAAGTGTCCCAGTAACACAAAGGTTTCACTTTAGTAGCTCTGGATTCTTGTTCATCAGAGCTGATTCTTCAGTCCTAGCTAACTAGAGCCAGAGACTCTTAAATTAAAATAACAAATTGTCAATACAGTCTAAACTTCCCTCTGAAACTTCGAAAGACAGGCCTCCAGCCTCTGCACTACTCTCGATAGTCCTATCTTCTAAGATCCCACAGATCATTCCACAGTGCTTTTAATATTCAATGGCTCTTCTAGACAAAGTTCCAAAGTCCTTCCACAATCTTCCCCAAAACATGGAGAAGATTGTGACAGCAATAACCCATTATGATGGTACCAACTTGTCTTAGGGTCTTCATTGCTGTGACAAAACATCTTGACCCAAGAGCAAGTTGGGGAGGAAAAGGCTTTCCTTGACTTACACTTCCATATTGCTGTTCATATTGAAGGAAGTCAGGACAGGAACTCAAACACAGCAGGATCCTGGAGGCAGGAGTTAATGCAGAGGCCATGGAGGAGTGCCACTTGCTGGCTTGCTTCGCATGGCTTTCTCAGCCTGCTTTCTTAGTGAATCCAGGATCACCATCCCAGAGATGGCACTACCCACCATGGGCTGGCCCCTCCTCCCAATGGCCACTAATTGAGAAAATGCCTTACAGCTGGATCTCACGAAGGCAATTCCTCAACTGAGGCTCCTTCCTCTCTGGTGCCTCTAGCTTGTGTCAACTTGACACACAAAACCAGCCAATACATTGTTTGATCTCTTTTGGAAAGCTTTGAGGCCAATAGCAGTTTTAATTTTATTTTATGCATGGGGGAACTGAGTCCGTTGTGTCTGGATTTGGCAGTAAGCATCTTGCATATCAGCCTTCAAGCAGTAAATGAACGGTGTGGTGCATCCCACAGCCAAAGGAAATATTGAACAACTAAAGAATCAAAATATGTAGGATTGGTGTTGTAGCTCAGTGGTTAGAGTGCTTGCCAAGCACTCAGGTGATCCAGGGTCAATCTATGCGTTGCATAAACTGATATGATGCCCTTGGCCTTGATTGTAAGCACTTGGGAGGTAGAGGTAGAAGGATCAGGAATTCAAAGTCATCTTCAGGCTGGGCTACTAAAGACCATTTCAAAAACAGACAAAGTTTATATGACTTGCATATATATATATATATATATATATATATATATATATATATATAT